CACTCCAGTCTGGGCGACAGAGTGAGACTCCAACTCAAAAAAAAAAAAAAATATGTGTGTAAATTAAATTTTTTTCCATGTGGCCATTTGGTTATGTGTATTAACTTAACCCATAAAAGAATTATATTTGCAATTGTTAGTTCACACTTGCCCAGACAAAATAAACGTGTTAAAATATTCATACAAAATTATTTTGTATAAAGTAAGTTTTATTGGAAATGCTTTTTCTATAACATGAATATGTATTATTTTGTTTATATTTTTCTAATTAGGTCATGTAACCATCGGTTAATACTGTTTTTTTTTTTTTAAGTTGGAGTCTCACTCTGTCTCCCAGACTGGGTGCAGTGGCCGCTCCCGGCCACCGCAGCCTCGACCTGCTGGGCTCCGGCGATCCTTCCGCCTCAGCCTTCCAAGTAGCTGGAACTACAGGCGCGTGCTACCACGCCCAGCTAATTTTTTGTAGAGATGAAGTCTCGCCAAGTTGCCTAGGCGGGTCTCGAACCCGCGGGCTCAGGCAGTCCACTCACCTCAGCCTCCCAAAGCGCAGATTACAGGCTGAGCCACCGATCCCGGCTAAAACAGGAATTTTTAAATTCCTTCTGAATTATATACCAAGAACTAAGATGATCTATCATCAAAATTGATTTTGTATGTGTCAGTTGACTACTAGTTAAAGTCCTCCAACTTTGTTGTTTCTGAAGAATTGGAAACCATTTGGCTTACAAAAAGAATTTGTAACTCAGACATCAATGCCTGCTGTTGCGTTTTTGGATGGGTGACAAGTAAATTGGGAGGTATTGATCATTGACAATCATGAGCTCTCCCTCAAGCAGATCCGTTTTAGAAAGAGTTTTTGAGGAAGTTGAGTTCTGAAACTCTTCATGCCTGCTCACCCTTTAGGTGAAAGACCTACGGAGGAGAAGTAACCCAGATGAAGACTCCTACTTTGGGAGGTGGAGGCAAGAGGATTGCCTGAGCCTAGGGTTTTGACACCAGCCTGGGCACTTGGCAAGACCTTGTCTCAACAATAAATAAAATATTAGCTGAGTGTGGTGGTATACACCTGTAATTCCAGCTACTCAGGAGGCTGAGGCAGAAGGATCACCTGAGCCCAGGAGGTTGAAGTTGCAGTGGGCATGAGTGTGGCACTGTACTCCAGCTTGAGCAACAGAGTGAGACCCTAACTCAAAATAATAATCATAAAAGTAACTACCACTATTTTTTGTATTCTTATTTGTAGATCAGACACAGGAGTAGGCCTTTCCATCTTTGGAATGTTGATAGCTTGAGGACCTCCATTATTCTTTGAGGATCCCCTACAGAGAAAGTTGAGATACCTTCATTAGAAGCTGGAGTTGCCTAGCCAGGTGTGGTGATGTGTGTCTGTAGTTCCAGCTACTTGGAAGGCTGAGGTGGAAGGATCGCCTAAGCCCAGCAGGTTGAGGCTGCAGTGTCCATGAACGTGCCACTGCACTCCAGCCTGGGTGATAAGAGTGAGACTGCAACTGAAAAAACAAAAAAACAAAAAACAGAAGCTAGAGCTGCATCTTTAAGATAACTTGAATTGCCAGGCTCGGTGGCTCAGCCTGTAATCCCACATTTTTGGGAGGCTGAGGTGAGTGGATTGCCTGAGCCCATGGGTTCGAGACCCACCTGGGCAACTTGGC